CAGGCGTGCTTGACGATGAACTGGGGTAAGTTTTGGAATAATTGCGGGTGTTTTGGGGGCATGTTACTTTCCTTCAATCTTCGTTTTACTGTCCACTGACTATTAATATCACAGAGCTGTTGTTGCACCTGAATAGCATTAACACGCCGATTTCTTAACATTGTTGACACAATAAAGCGGTCATCACTATCCGTTGTATATCTCTTTCTACCAGTTCCAGGTCGACTACGAAAGGATCGAGTCTCCTCATACCGTTCACACACTCTTCGAACCGCTCCGCGTGTCAGATGTAGTTGCCGAGCTACAGCTCTCTGTTTAAGTCCATCTTCGATTAAAGCGATTACTTGGGCGGCTTTTTCCGGTGATGTATGCATTAAATTGAAACACTAATCAAACAATGAAACACAACTAATCAAAGAATAAAAGAACAATGTGAAAATTTCGATTACAAAGGTAGTAATTGCAATATTTGACAAATTTATTATTCTTATTGTCACCACAACCCAAATACCTTTTTTTACCTTTTTTTTTTGTTTACCCATTGGTACGCATATAAACGATCAGTACCCTGGATAAATTTCTGCTCATATTAAAGCATGTTAAATTGTTTTTGAAACAGCTCATATTTTTTACTTGCTCTGATAAATAGATTCTAAGAGACACAGTTAAAACCAAAAGTTTACAGTGGGCCGATTTCTATGCACGTAAGTTTATATGATATTAGGAATTATTTATTTATTCAGAATTATTGTTTTAATTTATTACAAATAGTGATTTCCGACTATTGCATAAAATGTTAAAGAAACAAATGCTGATTCAATATAACATAATAATATTGAAAAATAAAAAAAATTGTGTGTAAAAAGTTCTATTACTAGCTTCTAGTAAAAATTAATTAAAAATGCAAGACTTGCAAAAGTTTTGGATATCACAAAATATGGATATCTCAGTTCGCGGATTTTCAATTTTGATCTTTCAATTGATTCAATGTTAAGTAGGTAAGTCAAGTAAAGATTAGGTTGATAAAAATTCCGAATATACCTACAGGGTGTTCCAGACTGAGCGTTAACATTAGAAGTTTTTAGAGAACTACAATATCTAGATTTTACATCGAGGTCTATCGATTGTATATTACATACCGAGGAGGGAAGTGTTTCATTACTGTCGAGACCATATCTATATAGTTACCGTACCAGTGGTTGTTATGGCGCAAACCTTCAACAGCAAAACAAACAACTAAGTGACAGTTTTGAATTTCTCGTTCGCTTTTTCGAATTTATATAACATAGAAAGCCAGAATGTTATCGGAAAGTTGTGATAATGAAGACTACTTTAATATTGGTACTCCACCAGAACTTACAGAAGCTGCAAAAAGAGCAGAAGCCAGTTTACTTCCAGAGAAAAATAGGGGGCGATATGTAATAGCATTGAAAGTATACGAAAAATGGTGTGCTGAAGGAAATGCTAAGAAATATTGCTTCGGAGACAGTCTTGTTGGATATTTTAGCGACATGACAAGGAAGAAAATGCCATCTACTTTTTGGGCTACGTACAGCATGCCACGGACAATGCTAGAATTAAGGGAAAAGACTGACATATCAAAATATCACACACTCGTCGCTTTTTTAAAACGCCAGAATGTAGGTTTTAAGCCAAAGAAGTCTAGCATGTGTACCTTCTTTCTTGTTTATTATTTTTGTTGATGTTAGATAAGTATTTAATAAAGATATTTCAAGAATATTTTGCTTAATTAAATGAGGCGAGAAATGAGAAAAATCGAGTGAGGGAAATGGATGAGGGAAATGGGCGAAGGAAATGGAAGAGGAAAGAAATGTAGATAATTTGACACTTTCAAATTTTTTAAAAGTCAGTAATGTCAGTACCTATTACATATGTGGTTGTAAATAAAAATATTTTCAATATGACGACACTTCCGGAAATACCAAAATTGACATCAACTTTCTTATTTTAAATGGGTAACAGAATTTTTTATTACATACTTAGATTCTGTGTAAAATGTAATGAATTTTGATATTAGACACTTTATACCAAACATTAACCGTTCTTGAGAAAAAAAGATTTAAAATTTTTAGGCGAAAAAAACTGCCTGTCAAAAAAAATTGTACTTACTTATTGCCTACGTTAAATTTAGTGATTACCACAGTCACTGTGACATAAATACAAGACATGTGGCTCTCTATTTTAAAAATTAAATTGTTCGAATGTCATATAATATTGGATGTAGCTGTCATGGAATTGAGCGATTAAAAAATTATCATAACTATTTTTTTAATGGGAATCCCTCGGAAAATCCGCATTTTCTATTTCACTTGTTAAATGGTATTTTAATTCGTTACTTTTTGATTAATCATGTTCATAGTTATAGAACTAAAAATAAATCTCTACTATTCTGTATACCTATCTAGAATAATATTAACGAATTAATAATAATACAAAGTTCTAAACCATAGACATAAAATGTGTGTTCTAAATATAATATAGCTGACTACTTAAGAAAGTAGTACAAAGTATATTGAATAACAAGATAAAATTAGTGTTTAATTATTCAAATTTACATTGTTTATATTTTTAGTACTAATTTTTCAGACCGTTACTTACAGTTACTGTTAAATATCAATAACTTAATTTTTGCCTATAAAGTTAACTGTTTTGCTCCGTGATTTATTTTAATACATTAAACATACACCCAGTAGTTTATTGCCTAATATCGATTATATTATGTATTTCCCATCAAGTATTTCGTGATCTAAGTGACATTTGCTACTTTCTTGTTATATAACTCTCAGTAACGTTAAAGGTAGTGGTACTTTTGATTTAAACACGTATTTAAAGACCTGTACGATTTGATATTGTCAGAGTTTGATTTGAAATATTTGGATGTTATAAAATTTATTACATTAAGAACTATATTTATTGCTTTTTGTTTTTTCAGATTAGGACTAAGCAACACAATTATTGCATTATATTTTTTTTCTTTTGGAGCTTTTTATGACTACATACAGTAGACTCTCGATTATCCGACTCTCTTTTTTCCGGTCGCTGGATTATCCGAGTTGAGTCCCATATTAACAGAGTGGTGCCGTATTATTCGAGCATCAGGCTTAATAGTCCAGGAGGCAGTGTTTTTTTGTACTTGTTTTCTCAGTAGGCGATTATATAATAGTATCAATAATTAATACTAATAATTATTAGACATTAAAACTTTCGGTTGGGTTCAAAAATAAAAAATAGTTATTTTTGTATCTAGTGCGCGAAGTGCTGCTCTGGTGATCGATAGTTGAATTTTTTAACGAGGCGTAGCCGAGTTGAAAAATTAGTTGAGATCACCAAAGTAGTTGCAAACAACATTTTTTCTACAAACATTAAAATCAAGATATCCCTAAAAATTATTATTATCTATCAACAATAAAATTCAAATATCAAATAAAATTTTAGAGTGTCAAATACCGGGATCGAGTACCTTCACATCAAAATTGGATAGTCCAAGTCCCAAAACCCCCATTTCTCAAGCAAAGTCAGAACTATCTAGTTTGGGATTAAATATTGGTTCGTGTACTGGTTGTACTACTAATGTTAATATTGTAAATAATAACTAGAATATGCATACTATCATAAACTATAATCAAAAGCAAATCTGGCTGATTTACGAAATTGGCAAGTGAATCTGGCGGCATCTAGAAAATTGCAAAAATTACATTATTATTTTATTAGTTTCTGTCATTTACAATCACGAAAGCCCCGCCAGACTCACAAGTCAGGTATATAAGACAGGTATATAAATGGGGAGAAGAAGCCGCACGTGCGTATTTAGATAACGACCAAAAATATTAAAAAACGTGTAACGACGCTGGAAATTATTGGCACTCCGCAATTTTATGATTTTTAATGCAGGAAATCGAGAAACATTATTCTTTATTTCAAAAATTGCTCTAGATCAAAAATTGCTCTTTTTTATTGCACTAGTGAAAAGGCTTGTAAATTCGTTACTTTTTGACTATACATGTATATGTTACGGTTAAGGTCCGATGTCCCGTTAATGTCGACATTACCCGGTTAATCTCGAGAATAACACACAACAAAACAAACAAAAACATAACCTAACCCAAACATTAACATGTTAATGTCGACATTAACCGGACATCGGACTTTAACCGTAACATATACATACATATACATGTTCCTATACCTAAAATAAATTGTTTTTAAGTTATTAAAGATTGAGTTTTAAAGCGTATATTTTTTTGATTTTAACCAGTAACCTATGACTTTAAATGTCAAGTGATGTAAAACAATAGATTTGGCCATGTCATATTGTGATGCTTTGTTCAAAAAGCAGCATCATTTCCGAGCCAACTTTGCGCTGTTTTTTTTTTCGATCATACGGAATATTATTAATAATATCAACTATTAGATATCACTAAAGAGCGAAAATACGAGATACATTTTATAAATACACTTTTTAAACTCTTAAGGCGGGCAGTATTTATAATAAGGTAGGTGCGCCTAATAAGGCCCGGGTCCTAAAAAGGCCCACGCCACATTGTAAATTCGGCACAGCATAATTAGCTACATTTGACACATAATGATAAAGAATATGAACCTACTAGTGTAGGCCACCACTAATACATGGCCTGCAATAACACAATAGGTCTGTAATTAAATTTATGTCCCCCTTTTTTCAAATAAATCAAAATGCCAAGAAAGAGGGCTTTGTGGACCGAGGAACGCCTGGCAGAAGCCATGCTAGCAGTTCGAAATGGGATGGCGGTAAGGACGGCGAGTGCTCAGTTTGAAATTCCAAGAAGAACTTTACGAAATCATATAACTTCTGGAAGTACTGTAAAAAAATCGGCCGCACTTGCACGTTAACTTTGGACCAAGAAAATGATCTTAGGGATATAATTATTAGGTTGGCTGACATCGGCATGCCTGTAAACTTCAAGAGTCTTAGACGGTCTGTCTTTGCATATACTGAAAAAATGGGAATTCCACATAAATTTGATAGAGGTCGAGCTATGGCTGACAGAAAATGGGTAAGATTATTTTTAAAACGCCATCCAGATATTAGTAGACGGAAAGCACAGCACATGAATGTCGCTGGAGCAGCCAAACTTAACAGATTTATTGTCAATGATTATTTTCAAAAACTCAGAGATGTGATGACCGAATCAGGGGTTATTAACAATCCTCAATGTATATTCAATATGGATGAAAAGGGCTGTCAACTTAATTTACACAAACAGCAAGTGGTTTTGGCAAAAAAGGGCTCTAAACGAGTACACATGATAGCAGAGGAACACGCTGAGAATGTGACGATAGTTGCATGCGGTAACGCCTTGGGGCAAGCAATTCTGCCCATGATATTAATGAAGGGAATCAGAAAAAAAATCGAATGGTCTCTGCATTTGCCGCCTGGTTCCGTGATTGAAATGACTGCAAAAGGGAGCATGACGACTGAGACATTTGTAAAATGGATAGACCATTTTTCCAAATTTAAGCCTACTGGAAAAGTACTTCTTATTTTCGATGGAGCTTCATCACATCTAGATCAGACTATTGTAGATGCTTCTGAAAAAAGATATTATTTTATTTTGCCTACCTAGCAACACTACCCATGAACTACAGCCCATGGACAAATCAGTGTTCGCAGCTTTTGAATCTTACTGGGATGACGAAGTGCTACTTTTCTGGACAAACAAACCCAATCACACTATAAACAAAACTAGTTTTGGGATGATATTTAGTAAAGTATGGCCAAAAGCAGCGAGCCCCAATAATATCATTGCTGGATTCCGTGCAACAGGTATCTACCCGTATGATCCCAATATCATACCTGATACAGCATTTGCTCCATCGGATATACCAGCTAGACGAACAGTTGAAAATGGTGATAGACAAGATGTAGAACGCAAGAAAAGTACTACTACTCAGAAAATACCTGACCAAGAAAATAAAACCAATTCTAACGACCAAGCTAATAAGGCTATACACCACCAAACTCAGTCTGGTCCAAGTGGCTTGTGCCGAAGCAAACGTAAGCAGCGGAGCTCCAGCACTTCGTCTGATGACGGAGAATATTCTCTTTATAATACTTCGTCGTCAGAAGGTGAGGAGAGTTTTTCTGACAGAAATGAGGAACTACCTAAGGATCCAGAAGGAAGCTTTAAAGAAATTTTACCAACGCCTGATATAGAGGAAAAAAAGATTACTCCGAGAAAAAAGTCTCTAAATTATAGAGCTCAGAGAGTGGCAAAAGAGTTGTTTAAAGAACAAAAGAAAATAGACATAGAGAAAATAGAAGAGAAAGGAAAACGTGTTAAAACCAAGAAGGTTGTTGAAAAGTGGTACTGTCACTTATGCGAGCAGGATAAAGTAATCGATATGAGACTTTGCTCAATGTGTGAGATACGTCCACGAGGAATGCGTTGGCCTAACAAAAGAAGATAAGGAACCTGCGTTTCTATGTCCCTCATGCTAGCTTTTTGTTTTAATTGTTTTTTTACGAAAATTTATGAACACATTGATATTGCAGACGATTCTGATTGCAGTTCAGGCGTCAGAGATTGCTATCAAAACAAGAAAAGTTTAAAAAACGTTTTTTTGTTACTTTTGCCGGATGGCTTAACTTAGACGGGCCTTATTAGGCGCACCTAACTTACAGGAAATGCAAATAATTTGTTTTCTGACAGATGGAAAGAAATTGTCTGACCGTTTGACACTTAATGTCAAAGGAATTTAGATAAAATAAAAGAAATATACGTTTTCAAACTAAATCTTAAATAACTTAAAAATTATTTATTTTAGGTATAGGAACATAAAAAGTAAGGAATTGAAAAATTTTCACTAGTGAAATAAATAAGTGGGTTTGCATTTGAAAAAAATGATTTATGATAATTTTTTAATCGCTCAATTCCATGACAGCTACCGATATTATTATATGACATTTGAACAATTTAGTTTCTGAAATAGAGAGCCACATGTCTTCTCTTTATTGCACAATGGTTAGGTTAATAATATTAAGTCTTTAACACCCTGTAGCGAGGAAAAAAAGCAGAATCGAACCTAGTCGATATAAAAAATAATTCTTATTTTTACGTGAGGAATCTCCCCCCGAGAGATGGCACATGTTTTTGAAACACCCTGTATATTTTATTCTCTCTTTTGGTCATTCTCTTATATTATTTTACACTTATATTGTTTTTGTGATAAGCTTAAAAAGGTTCATCAAAAGGTTTTGATGAAAATCAAAAATGGATTTGTAAGTATGATGTAAAGATATGATCAGATCAATGGCCCCTTTAAACACCATACTTACAAAAAATATCTAGTTAAATTGGAGAAAATATCATATCTACACACTTAAAAGTAATATTTTTGTATAAAAAAAAAACAAAAAAAGACAAAAAAACAAAAAAGATAGCCATCTAGTTATTTATCTGTAAAAGATGCTTTTAAAATTTTGATTTAAATGTGCAAAACGTTGTTACTTGTTTGATTACCTGATAATGGGATATTGGTTAAGCAGTTTAACTGATGTAAATGAGAAGCAGCTCTGGCTTTATTAATTTTGGGTCTTTGATAGTGAGTATTAAAACGAGTTTCGCGTGGATGAACATTGTCCCTACGTGTTACCTACCTAATTAATTTATGCAGGAAGCAAGCAAAATGAAGTTTTTTTCGATCCGATATGTTTAGCCACTTTAGACCATTAAGTTTGTGGCTCACGTGATCACTACGTTTCAGGTTGTAAATAAAACGAATGCAAGAGTTCCGAACTTTTTGTAATTTGAATTTGGTTGAAACATCCAAACAAGGTCCATATACAAACTTACAGTAATTCAAATGATTTAATACAAGTGCTTCGCATAATTTTTTTTAACCCAAAGCACAGAACATCTTTGCTTTTATAGATGTTGTGGAGATTAATATAGGCTTTTTGGAGAACTTGACTTTTGTCTTCTCTTACTTTGCTTTTTTATCCATTTTTATTATTTTTTTCCTTCCCTTTCTCGGAAGATTTATTTTCCCTCTTGTTTCTTGTATTTTAATTTTCCATGGATCTTCATTAACATCCTCTTCTTCTTCCTGAAGTATTTCTGTTTTAATTTCTTCTTGTTCTTTAACATTCGCTACTCTGCGCTGGGATGTTTCGGGCTTAACTTGTCTATAATAATTTAAGGCTCTTCAGATTTTGTTTGTCTACTCTTACCATTCGTTTTTATACTATATAAAAGACTAAAATTTTCATCAAATTGTTTTTGATTTCATCTTTTATTGGAAAAACGAAAAGACTACTGAGAAAAGACTTTAACAGTCGCACTTGGACCAGAACTGGGTACCCGGAGAATGTGGAACAGGGGGGTTAGCGACTAACCCCAGGTTTTCTTAAAATCGGAACGGGGGTTAGCGACTGACCCCACGTTTTCTTAAAAGTTGGATAAGTTTTTAACGAAAAAAAGTTTAGAAAACCCAAGGATTTTAATTAAAACTAATTTAAATTAAATAAACATTTATTTTTTATTAAATTTAACGAAACAGTATTCAAATCGTATATAAAAGTGTAAAATACCTAAACATTACAATTTGTGCAATTTCTTATTGTGGTAATTTACTCGCTGGCTGTATGCCTAGGGCAAATATACTTTTGGCAATTAGAACATGCCTTCATATATTTTCTATCGGCCGACCTTGGACAAACAAAACATCTTCCTTTTTTGGGAATATTTTGCACAGCGGATCGAGTAGCTGGTCCAATTGATTCACGACGAACATGACCTCTTGTCATGGGCTGGTCTTGTTGACATTCAAATCCAAAAATTTTCAAAGCAGCTACAAATTTATTTTGAAGTCCCCTTTTCTTTGATCGATTACTCATATTTATTTGGCACAACTCCTTGCCTAAGCATTTTAAAAAAACTTTTCTTCCTGATTTTTGTTTTGGATTCTCTCTTGCCCAGTTCTCGTTAGCTTTTATGAAAAGAATATAGGAGTTATAACTAACTATATCGATCAAATTAAAAAAAACCGCCATCGGCCATCTTCTTGTGCCACGCCGACAACTATATCCTCTTACACATTTATCAAGCGTATCGACGCCGGCTTTGGTGGAGTTATAGTACAAAATAATTTCTGGCTTGTCATTTTGCACTTGCATGTTGTGATGTTGTGTAGATAGCACAGTGACGACCTTCTTCTTTTTTGGCACATAACTTACAAGTGTTTCCCGGTCGCGAAAAGCAAAGCGAATTGTGCCAGGTGTTGCATCCTTCAAAGATTGTGGTCTTAGTTCTGGTGGGACGTCTTTTCTGTTACTCACATTATCGTTCCCACGACAGTAAGATTTTGATCTAACAAAGCATTTGCTGTTGGAAGAGATGTAAATTTTCTGTCCATTGTGATGTTGCGACCACTGTTATGCAATTTTGCTAATACTACAAGACGTTTTACAACTGCCGGACCACTATTGTAATCTTTGGGCTGATTTATTACTTTTCCAGCGTATGGTTCTGCAGCAAAACAATAGTAATTTTTTGAATCACACAGCACATTAGCTTCAATTCCGTATTTACCAGGTTTGGTAGGAATATATAAACGAAATTTGCATCTTCCATGAAAGGTTATAAGCTCCTCGTCTATTACAACTGACTCTGAAGGAGCCAAAAAGTCTGGAAATTTGCTTGTCACTCGCTCCCAAATATCTCTTGCTGCAGCAAAGTTGTCATATTCTTTACGAATACCTCGAGTAGCTTGATCATCAAACCTCATACATTTTTGTAGTAGTTGGACACGAGAATGTGAAAACGTAGCCCTGTAAATTGGCAAATTCTCTTCACTGAATAAGTCGATAAGTGGATCTTTATTTTGCTTGTAAGCACCTGCTGTTATCAAAAATCCCATGTATCCTAATATTTCATCTTTTTCAAAACTTCTTGATTTTTGTATGAAAGCAGATTGCGGAGTGCTTTCTTTTACAAGGGCGAGTTTCTCATTCGTATATTGCAAAATAAAATCAATGATATCATCATCGAAAAAGAGCCGGAACGATTCAATTGGCAGCTTAGGATTTATTCCGTTTTTTAGACCTGGTGCTTCTCTCATTAGATTGGCAGCTATTTGCATTCGTCGAGTAATGGGTTTAGGTTTCCATGTCAGACCTGATACAGAAACCATGTCAGAACTGGTTTGATCTATTATACCTTTAGGTCGTGGACGACGTCTTGCTATAGTGTCTAGAAAAACAATCAAAAGTACTACTAAACCATTTTGAGAATAAATGTACAAACCATCATTATTTCCCTCCGTATCACTACTTTCTTCGGCTGAATCCTCATCCATGGTTTCGTGCTGCTCCAACTGAGAATTTTGAGCTAAAAGAGTACAAAAACATTTAGGATATAACCCCTATGAAGTATTTGCCATGCAGCATTCTTTTATGGTTTTTTGAAACCATCTATTTAATTACTTACAAGATGACTCATTTTCTGTTTCTTCAAAAAAGCGATCCTGATCTTGTTCACCTAGGTCGACTTCGGATTCTTCGTCTGAGCTTTCCAAATCTGGGTCTATGTAATCCCTACACAAATCATCGTCATCCTCATAAAGAGCTTCTTCCAGTTCGCGATCAGTCAAATATCTTCCACTCATATCCAAATGTAATTGAATCTTTTAGAATATAAAAAAAATCAACACTAGACTCTCATCTCTGCAACAACTGAGATAATACTGGTAAAAAGTTGCCAGACACATCCATATCGTTATTATTAGGCGCGTCGCGCGCGCGCGGACGTACTATGCGTTATAAAAACGTCCGGCGAAGGTCAAACTCTTAGCAAATTCCAACAAATTGTATGTCTAGGGATTGAAAAAATATGTAAAATAAATGTCCTAAAGGATATTTGAAAAGAATGTAAAAATAGGTAAGTAGTGTTAAAAAAAGGTAACTGGGGTCATCGCCTGACCCCCCACTTCCAAGTGCGACTGTTAAGAACACTATACTAATACAATGAAAGAATATACTTCAATATTAAGGATCGCAGTCAAATAAACACAAATCACCATCAGACAATAATTGTCACTTAATGAAAATTTGAATAGTAGAAGAATCTAAAAAATGAAACTTGATCAAAAACAAATATTTTTTAAAAGCAAATGTAACTGACATTTTAAAATTATTTTTGTTAAGAACTTTTGAGATATGAACATTGAACCACGTTTGAACTTGAATTCAATTCAAAGCCGTAACGTCAGAACCCACGATGAGGAAGAAAAAATAGACCGTAAAATTATAAATAAATCTGTTTCTAAGAATCGACGTCGGTTCTTTCTATCGCCACCAAACCAAAGTTTACAGAATAAAATATAAGTTCGGTCACTTAGCATCGGCACTTTGAAAATCGCGTATCAAAAGCCAGAAGCCGCCTCGTCCGATACGCCGGATTTCGATGAAAACAGGAGTGGAAGCCGGGGTAAATAGAAGCCGCATTTTTACCGATCGCAATGTGCCACAAGGTGCAGGGGAACGTGGGGTATTTCAAAAATACCTAATGGTAAATCTACAAAAGAAAAAGTCAGTTTATTGGTGTATTACATATAAATATTTAGACATGGCAAGATAAAAAAGATATAGCAAAAATAAAATAAATTTTAAAAACAAACACAAAAAATAAAGCTACACAATATCAACAGTAAATAATGTAAAAGTATATTACGTAACGAGTGTTTTGGAAAAAATAATATTACGCACGAGTGCAGTATTCCATGAGTGCGTAATTTGGTTTTCCAACACGAATTACGTACACTATAAAATTCAAAGCTGAAACTATTAAATGTCAACAACTTTTGATGTTTAAATGGTATCCTCGGTATTTTTTTACGTTATTCGATAGAAAATGATACTCTGAGTAGAAAGACATATCATATGTCAGCTTTTAACAGTTTCACATATGATTTATTTGAAAGTGTAACACGCGGTTTATAACGACAATTTGACTCGAAATACCAAGTGTGGCATGAAATTATTCGTAAAAAAATATTTTTTCCAAATATACTAATGAGCCAACCCCTTTCCATTTGAAAAAAATTAAGATATGGTTAAAAATACCATTTGGGCATCTTTTAACCGGCCTAGACAAGACATGGAAAACATTAGACGATCAAATCTATTTTTCCTAGGGCTCCTTGATTAAAGTTTTGTTTTTAAAAGAGGTATGACACTCAATATTGAAATTTTAAAAGATTTTTTTAAGCTAGAATGCCAAAAGTTGACATATAATATGTCATTCTATTCAGAGTGTTATTTTTTATCGAATGAAGTAGAAAAATGCCGAGGTTGCCGTTTAAAAATCAAAAGTTGTAGTCATTTTCGGTGAAACCGGAAGTGACCGAAAAAAATTGAAAACGCTAATCAATCCTAATTTAGGTCATATACTAACACACCAAATCTCGTTTTTTTATCTGAAAAAATAAAAAAGTTATAGGGATAAGCCACTTTTGAGACACACCCAGTATATGATTTTTCGTGTAAAAATAAAGTGTTCTTGAATAATTCCAATTAGATATTTTAAATATTTTTGTTCCAGTGGCGAAAAAACTCAATATTATTTTTAAGAAATAATTATGCTTTTTTATAATAAACTAATAAATAAATAATTAACTAAGGCTAATGTGATCAGTAACATTTTGCCATGAAAATTAAATAATCACTTGAAAAATAATTCCATATGCATGCGAGACCACTCTGTAATAACGCCAAAATCAGAGTAATACGCCGAACGTGATCCGCCGTGTAAGCTGGATCCAAAGTCCACACACCAGTAATACACTGGGAAACACGTGCGTGAAGCGGCTTTTGATACCTGCCGCCGGCACAAGTGACGGAACTTATATTTTATTCTGTAAACTTTGACCAAACATTCCCGGTCCTTGAACCGCGTAACCGCAAATTCTAGCCGGCATGAACCATGCATGAACCGTAGTCGTAGTAGTAATAATCGGCTGGCTGCAAAAACGAAGGAGACTGATTGCCATAGAGAGAAATCTAGGTGGGAATGGTAGAGGCGGAGTCTACGAAGATTTCCGCCAAGGATTCTTTAAACAATTCTCATTACCATTGGTCCCGAGAGAATGGGGAATCGCAACGAAAATGTTACAACAGTAAAACAATCGTTATGTAATGGCATTGAGGAACTCAAGAACGAAATGGGTGGGATGGCGATGTATCTGTCGGTGGAGCGTGACCATACGTAGCAGGAGATGTTAAATGTGGGAAATAAATCGTTTTCGTTTTAACACATTAAAAGTCCGTTCACTTCTTTGGGAATAATTAGTATTCTAATCAGACTCTCAATAAATTCAGTGTACCTTCTAATAAGATAAGTTAAGCTTTATCTCACAACATCTAGTTATCATGAAGGAAAATCATAATGTTGAACATACATTGTTTTTCTTTTCTTTCTGACTCAATTACGAGATTTAGGATAGGTTTATATTACAATCCATTATAGACTGACGAAAAAAATAGTACCATAGACAAATAATATATACCGGGTGCTTGTCAAAAGTGGCTCACTCTTATAACTTTTTTATTTTTTCAGATAAAAAACGAGATTTGGTATGTTTGTATATGACACAAATTAGGATTGATTGACGTATTCAATTGTTTATGGTCACTTCCTGTTTCACCGGAAATAACTACAACTTTTGATTTTTAAACGAATGAAATGAAATTGAAGTGAAACTTCCTAATAACAGCTATTAAATTGAAGGATTTAAAGGACACCCACCAAGCAAAAAACCTCACATTACATTTGCAACATTGCAGTCAATCCCCAAACAGCTTGCTTTGTAGTGTTGATTTCTAAACGTTGTGTCGTGATTGATGAAACTTTGCTACAGGAACATTGTTTTTGAATGGTGACTAAAACGGTTTTTTTTTCTGCAACATTGCAACCAAGATTCATATGAAAGATCCGCGCAAGTTAATAATAATAATTAATAGTATAACAAATATATCATAAGATCGAAAAAACGGCGTCTAGTTGGCTTGGAAATTAATATCGATGACAGTCCCCATTTAATTTTACATATAAAATGACAGCGATTTTCTTTTCATAGCCATCGCTGACGTTTTTTTTTTCGATCATATATATATATATATATATATATATATATATATATATATATATATATATATATATATATATATATATATATATATATATATATGATGTCATTTTATCTGTCATTTTATATGTAAAATTAAATGGGGACTGTCATCGATATTAATTTCAAGCCAACTAGACGCCGGTTTTTCGATCTTATGATATATTTGTTATACTATTAATTATTATTATTAACTTGCGCGGATATATATATATATATATATATATAGGTATATAGGATAAGTTAGGTTAGGTTAACGCACTTGTTTTTTTACGTTTTTGGTATCACGTTTTATGCTTTTCGAATGAGATTTAATGAATGTAAATGTAAGTATAATTTTATTATTATGTGTGTTTTAATAATGCTTAGACATGAATAAGTATAACACATTTTGTTTAGTTTGTTTTTAAGCTAAATTTTATGTTTTAGGTTAGCTTTTAGCCAACTGAAAATTGAAGTAGATAAAATCAGGATACGAGTATATCAATCTAATGATAAAATTACAAATAATATTCAGTATTAGTTATTCTCAATAATATTTTTTTAATGATGTTATAATCATTTGAAATTTTTAAAATAAGGACATAACGGGGCCTCAAAGATTACTGTCACAAGAGGTAAGTTTCTCATTGTTTTATTTATTACAACTAATTGTTTGTATTTTTACTACTTTAGAAATGATTGGATATAGATTTCAAAATTTTACTGAAGAGGAATTTGACAATTCAATATGCGAAGACAAAATATGAAAGATCCAAAAAATCAATTAAAATATAAGTTTGCTTTTCCTTTTACATATATTTAATGTTATACTTTTCTTTTGTATTGAATAAGTAATTCCTTTTGAATAAGAAATATATACTTCAAAAATGCAAGAATTGCAGGAGTCTTGCTCAAGACCAAGACCAAAAGCAAGGCTGGACCCTGCAAGACAAAGATCAAGACTAGTATGTAAGTAAGGGCAAGGCCAATATCAAGAGCAAGGGAGTCTTGGTCTTGCATGTAGGATGTAGAATGAGTGGATGTAGAATGTGTGGAGTGTTAATTACTGCAACCTTACTGATGTATTGTGTCCATCTTTCTTGAGTTATAACTCATCATACACTCCCAGGGCTTTGGCAAAAGCTATTATCTGGGAAGGTTCTATGGAGGGTAATTCTCCATCTCCAATATCAGTTGTACCTAAGTTTATGGCACGAATGGTTATCGTCTCGGCGCACTCAGTGATGAAATAGTGTTCTGGTGTTTCCTCATTTTCTCCACAGAATCTGCATTTGCCGTTTTTTCTTAGCTTCAATTCTTCTTAGGTGTTCATTGAGGAGACAGTGTTCTGTTTAAAACCCCGTGACAGTCCGAAGATTGTTTTTACTTAAATCAAGGTAAGTCTTTCATTTTTCTTGGTTGCAAGTTCTTAGAAACTTCTTCGAGTGTCTTAGCCTGTTGGAGGATTCTAATTTCAGGTTACAGATAGAGTCTTCCAAGTT